TTCCTTCCTTCCTTCCTTCCTTCCTTCCTTCCTTCCTTCCTTTCTTTCTTTCTTTCTTTCTTTCTTTCTTTCTTTCTTTCTTTCTTTCTTTTTCCGAGACAGAGTTTCTCATGTAACAGCTCTAGCTGCCCTGGAACTAGCCTTGTAGACCAGGCTGGCCTCAAACTCAAGAGCTCTGCCTGCCTCTGCCTCCGCCCCCCACATGCAAAGATTAAAGTTGTGAGCTACCACACCCGGCTCAAACTAACTAAAATATACGGCCCACGGGCAGTTTTCAGGACACATTTCTTACTTTAGATCCTGTGTGGAGGTGTGTGGTGCTGTCTGCCATAATGTGGCACTTTCAAATATCACCCCCATTTACTCAACAATTGGGGAAACATAAACTTATCCTTGAATAGGTGGAAAAAATGAAGGCTGAGGTGGTTTAGTGGCTAAACCTTCAATTCTCCACGGGCAACTGGCACTTTTCTTCTTTAGTACTTCATGAGTAGCTTGTGAAATTAACCATAGTAGCTATTGCTGGTGTTGGTTGTAACTTGGTTCGTCTCGACCCTTTTGTGTGTGTATGTGTGAGGGGGGGATGCCACATATCAGATACTCATATTATGATTCATAACAGTATCAAAATCATAGCTATGAGGTAGCAACAAAAGTAATTTTATGATTGGGGGTCACCACAGCATGAGGAACTGTATTTAAGGGTCATAGTGTTAGGAAGGCTGAGAACCACTGACAGTGCTAAGTTGTCCGATAACTGTTACATCTGAAGAGACCTCATCCAGTCAGCCACAGAATCCGTGAAATGACTGAGGGCCAGAAATCTGAGGTGCACCAACAGCCAATTATGAGAAACGGAGCGGCAAAGTTAACTCACTCTGAAAGAGAACTTGCACACAAAACTCCTGCAGACCTCAGTGCTACCTTTGTGGATCTTGCAGAGGCCAAAGCAAATAGAACAAGAACCTGTAGCTTGGGTATATATTCAGGGTACAAAGGTGTTCCCCTTGGTCTTGGGGAAATGTCAGCATGTGATACAGGCTGACCGTCTCTAAACATCTTCCACTGGCTTCATGGGTGCGTCATGCAGCCTGTGAAACTGGAGTGGTAATACATGGAGTTGTTGATCCAGAGCCCAGCAAGCCAGCTCAGAGTGAAGAACTAAGTGAGAGCACACAGGACTCACAGGGTTCAAGGTGAGCGCAAACTCTCAGATACCTGCAAACTGTAAACCGTCAATGCAAAGCTAGAGGCCTGCGTGATTCTCTATGGAAATGTCTCTGAAGGAAGAATGTCTGGTCCTAACAGGCAGAAAAACTAAGACTGCAATAAAGAAATTTCATAGCCGGGAGGTGGTGGCGCACGCCTTTAATCCCAGCACTTGAGAGGCAGAGGGCAGGTGGATCTGAGTTCAAGGCCAGAGAAATCCTGTCTCAAAAAAAATTTTTTTTTTTAATTTGGGAGTCTTTTTATTTTTGGTTTTTATTTATTTATTTATTTATTTTTAATTTTTTGGTTTTTTAAGACAGGTTTTCTCTGTAGCTTTGGAGCCTGTCCTGGACTAGCTCTGTAGACCAGGCTGGCCTCGAACTCACAGAGAGCTGCCTGCCTCTGTCTCCCAAGTGCTGGGATTACAGGCATGAGCCACCACCACCCGGCTATTTTTGGTTTTTAGAGACAGACAGGGTTTCTCAGTGTAGCCTTGGCTGTCCTGGAACTCTCTGTAGACCAGGCTGTCCTTGAACCCACACCAGATCTGCAAGGGTGTATGCCACCACCGCCCGGCTTGTTTTGGAGTCTTATCTGCAGGAAAGAGAAGCACCAGGAATGCCAGGTGCACGCCTTTAATCCAAGGCAGTCAGGTCATCGGGTCTCTTGAGTTTGAGGCCAGCCTGGTCTACATTGAGTTCTAGGTCAATCAGGACTAGAGAGTCTGTCTCAAAAAAAAAAAAAAAAAAAAAAAAAAAAGGAGAGGGGAGGGAGGAGAACGAGGAGTGTTGGGCAGTTAAAAATCGCTTTCTTCCTTTATCCTCAATCCCTGTAAAAATTTATAACTTGACTCTATTTTGTATTCTGTATATATCTTAAATTTCTATTTTAAATGGACTCAACAAGTACATACTCAGAGGTACTTTGGGTATATATTTTTTTTAATTTTTAGAGTTTGAGTCTGGAGCTTGCCTGGTACCCGGAGGTCATTAGTGTCACACCCACTAGAACTGGAGTTGGTTGTGAGCCTCCACATGGTTGATGGGAACCAAACCCAGATGCTCTGCAATAGCAACAAGTTAGTTGTCTTAACTGGTGAGCCAGCTCTCCAGCCTGCCTTGCTACTTTCAAAACTATTTTCAGAACTTCCCAGGATTCCACTTTACACCGGTGTTCAAGACAAAGTCTACCAAATGACCTAATTTTGCTTCTGAGACGGTCAAAACTACGTAGCCTGTATATAGAGGGCAAAAATGTTCTATTTTCAGTAAAATTCTTAGATGTGGCTACTGAGCACTCGACAATGTGGCCAGTGTGACTGTAGCTAACTGCTGAGTTTTATCTAGTTGGGTCACGGAAGTGCTTTTATTTAACATTAAAGCTATTGTGTAAACAGAAACAATTGACATTTAAAACACAAACTATAACTGATAATTTTATACATTGTATCTTGATGCCAGCTTCCTCTACAAGACCTTACTTGAAAAATAAAAGGCAGGTAAAAGAGCCTGACATGCAGCCTAATGACAAGTTAGATCCCTAGAAACATGTCAAAAGTTGCATGTGTTGGGACATGTCTGGTCTCACACACACAGACCCTGCCCAGCAGATTGGAAATCAAGGGTTCAAGTTTCAAACCTGCAACAAAAGGTTGTGGTACCTACTTATCAAAGAGGACCTGACTACCAAATTCTTCCAGCATCCCTCACCCTCTAACCTGAACTCTCTAGCCCAGGCGCTGGGCTGCCCTTCCTCCAGAAGTTGTTACCCACCCTTTGGCCTCTTGAGTGCTGGACCCAGTTCCCCTCTCCCTCCACCTCAGTTTGGTTATGTCCTTTGGGCTCAGGCAGATGACTCTGCTCTACCCATGGTTTCCATTTTATCTACAACAGTCTCCTCCAACGTACCTTTTTATTTCTTTTTCATTCAATATATAAATTATGTTTGGAAAGGCCAAAACAACCCCACAGCTAAAGGTACCCGGCACCAAGCCTGACACCCCAGATTTGATCCTAGGAATCCACATGGTAGAACAGACTATCCCAAGTTGTCCTGACACCCATGTGCCCCAGTGTAAGCACACAGACACATATGATTATTTAAAAAAAGGAAAAGACCATTATGGGATTGACACAGGAAAAGCTTTATTTAAGATTCTGGAAAATGAGTGATATGCAGCAATATACAGGTTAATAAGACTTGACTGCAGGCTCATGACTAGGCCCTAGCTAAGAACTTATCCTAGCATGCAAGGGGGCTACAAGAACCACCCCTATACCAACACATTCTAATGATCTAGCAAATCTTCCTTTTGGTCGCACCTTAGCAGAAGTGGGACAATCTGACTGGGCAGCCAGGCATAGAGAAACATCAATCGAACCACCACCTAACATACTGATAATTTGGGGGAAGACTACCTTCAGTGCAATCAATTACTACAAGACTACTTAGGGATACTCTCACAGGGCCCTCATTCTCTATCTGTAAAATGGGACTTCAGCACCTATCTCAGCAACAAAGTGAGAATGAATCTGCTACCACGCCCTAATACCAAGGTGGGACGCGGGCCAGCCTACTTCACCTTGGAGGCATTACCCCCTTGGAGCCGGCTTCAAGGCATTCTGCTCACTGGTTTCTTTCTTGTAGTTTTCAGCCTGTAAAAATGAATGAAAATGTTTCAGATAAGTGGAAAATACTAAAATATATTCTTCTCGGCTGATCTCAAACTTCATTTCTAGGCAAGTAAATGTACTCTTCTGGACTTTTCTCTCGATCATATTAAACTAAGTAGCCCAGTTCTCTTTTTAATTCTAATTCACTACTTCATAATCCCCAGAAGCTACGTTAATTCTTCTGATTCATCTGTGACTCCAGACAGGATCCAAAGAGAAGGCGTACAATCTCCTCCATGGGTTTTATGGAGAGTTCCTTTACCCTTCTGTGTTAGCCTCTTAAAGTACCGCGTCAACCTTAAAAGGGCACAGGAAAGGGCGATTCGGAAGGACCTAATCAGTTCAACAAACACAGGCCGGGGACACTCGGTCGCCTGGGCCACGTGGCCTGGGCCTTCTTTCGACCGATGCCGGGACGTACCTGCGCCTGGGTCCGAGGCGGCCGCACGACTGAGCCCTGGGGATCGGCTCCGGAAGGTCGGGCTGCGGAGAAAAAGAAGGGCGGTGGTGAGGGCGCCCGGGCAGGACAGCGCAGGGGACATTGTGTCTCGCGCGGCCCCGGGCTGGGCACGGCCGCCCGCCCCCCGGGCCACCGAGGACTGCTCTACCCCTTCGTTCTGGCCGCCGGGAGCAGCTGAGCTCGGGGCGGGCAAAGCTCGAGGGGACACGTGCCGACCCTCCCGCCGGACACCCTCCCGGAGGACACTCACCACCGAGCCGGGGACAGAAAGACCGAGCTCCGGCACTCTGCGCTGATACAAGCGCCGGGGAGTGGGGCGGGGCTGGCCAGCAAGCCGCAGCCAATCAGCGGGCCTGTCGGAGGGGGCAGGACAGGAAAGAGAGCAGCCAACCCTCAGAAAGACTGTGGGCGGGGACGGTAGGGCGGTCCATCGCCGGAACCGCGGGGCCATTGGCTGCCGGCGGCAGGTCATCCACCCATTGTCATGCTGCTGGCGACCCTGTACTTAAGCATCGTCCTCCTCGCGGGGCCTCTGGTGATCCCAAGTTCTTCCAGGCTGCTCCAGGTCAAGAACATTCCTTTCCTTAAGGATGCTCGATGTGTTCCGACTTAGAACTAGTCT